TATATATAATTTTATTTTTCAGATAATTTTTAAAAAAATTAAAATCTATTTAAAATACTTTAAGTCATTCTTTTACATCTTTTGGTTATTTTAAACACTTCTCAGTGCACACAAAGATGTTCTCTTATTTGCTTCAATTTTATAGTCTCTGATCCTGATGGACCTACTGAACACAGTTTTAACGGTGCTAATTTGTCAGTACTTCTGTGAAACCAAACCGCCAGGTTAGACGAAGCCTTGAGCAACCTGGTGGGAGGTGTACCTGCCTAGGGCAGTGGGTTGGGATTAGATGATCTAGAAGGTCCATTCCAATCCCTACAATTCTATGATGAAATTCCATGATTCTATGATCTCTTATGTTAATGTCACTCTCTCCTGAAGAAGAGATGCAGCTATGAAAATTCCTGTAAAGACAGAGCAGTTGCAGGAATAAATGCAGAAAAAGTACTGGGGTTTTGGGTTTGTTTTCTCTCCGGTGAATTTGGATAGATCCCAGATCTCTCTCACCTCCCTTCCTCAGTCCTCAGGCAAAGGATCAAAGCATGCTTATGCCCCATGAAATCAGTGCCTGAAATCATCAGGAGTCTTCTAATTTTGTCCAGTCTTTTAGCCACCAGTTCCACAGGCTAACAATACAGATTCATAGGAAAACTTTAGATGCCTCTGTTGGTCGCCAATATTCAAGAAAATGTATGATATATGTGTTCTTCTTGCATAAATAAGTGTAATAAAAATTAGAGTGCTAATCAAAAAGAAGTATGGCTAGAAAGTCTTCAAATCAAATGATCAGAAACTGAGAAGCTACAAATATTTTAATATTAATAAGTATTCATTGTTTCACAGGGACGAGTCTTGGTGAGTGGAGAAGAAATGGAAGAAACAGATATCATTGCCAAAAATGGTCATATTCATACCCTTGCAGGAGTTCTCATCCCACCCACAATTGTTCCAATCCTACCACATCGCTATTGTGAGACAAGAAGCCAAGTGACAAAGGTAGGAGAATCACAATGGTTTGGTAGCTCTTAGCTGCTCCATGCAAGGCACTCTAGCTCTCTCGTCTATCCCTGGTGTCATCCATTCAAAAGAGTCAGGTTTGGAAATGACTATATAACGAACTCAGCCACCTGACTAGCAGCACTGCATGGATGCAATTCATCTGCAAACAGGGAACTCACATGAACACATCATAGAATCATAGAATCAACCAGTTTGTAAAAGACCTCAGAGATCATCAAGTCCAACCCTATTGTGGTTACTAGACCATGGCACTGAGTGTCACATCTAGTCTCATCTGGAAAACCTCCAGAGATGGTGAGTCCACCACCTCCCTGGGCAGACCATTCCAACGCCTGATCACTCTCTCAATAAAAAATATCTTCCTAATATCCAACCTAACCCTCCCCTGGCAGAGCTTGCGTCTGTGCCCTCTTGTCCTCCTGCTGGTTGCCTGGGAGAAGAGACCAACCCCCACCTGACTCCAACCTCCTTTCAGGGAGTTGTAGAGGGTGAGAAGGTCTCCCTTGAGCCTCCTCTTCTCCAGATTGGACAACCCCAGCTCCCTCAGCCTCTCCTCATCCTAAGCCATCCTAAAACAATTCAGTTGTTGCAGTGCCCTTTGAAATATGCTTTCTCTTCAGTCCAACGCTTTCGTCCAGTTCCTGAATCCCATGTGCATACAGATACATGGGAAGCAGCATCAAGGTCTCAGGGAAACTACTCAAGATCGATATTTTAATTTCTACTAAACATGCAGGGAAAGGAGGCAGAAAGTTAAAATATTAGCATACAATACTTTAGGAATGTGTTCTTTTTAGAAGCCACACTTTCCCCTAGCTCTACTTTCTTCTAGTTTTCTTCAAATTAGGAATACAAAACTGCTTCATATTTAAAAGGGCAGATTTTGACATACCTTGCTTAGTTAGGTAACATAGTACAGGCCTTTACTGGGTAACACTCAGATACTATTTCTGGTAAGATGATTGAGTATCAGACTGAGCTTTTCATTTGCAGTAAGTGTGGCTCCAGTGAGCTGTTCCTGGACAGTGTTCAAACTCGTATCTGGGCCAGTAACAGTTCCGGTACAAAAAGAAAACATTTACTGCCTCAACTTACAACAGTCCAGAACCACAGCCTGGAGAGAGAGGTTCCCAGCAGAGCTGGACAGCATCAAAATTTAATGAAGAAAACACTGGCAGTAAAGAACTATTACCTCTGGCAGTAATAACAAAGTGCTCTAAGTCCAATGTAATCATAAACCAGGCAGAGCTCCAAGCAGCCATCTCTGATACAAAAAGAAATCCACACCCAGAACACTGCAGTCATCTAAATTCCTTACCAAAAACTTGCGTAAAAATTATGTCCATCCTCAATCAATCCTAAGGCAACACTGAGAAAAAGTGTTTTAAGACACAAGAAACAGCATTGGTCACAATAATTGTTCTCCAAACTGAAGTTAGGCACTTCTATCAGCCTTGAAAACTTCATGCACAGTTTATAACACACCTTCAGATTCAAGGCTTTATGTAGAACACCAGAAGGAAGCAATAGCTTTGCAGTTCTTACTTTGCACCAATGATTTTCATCATGCTCAGAAAACAGGAATAACTCCACCCCATAAATGCTCCATGGATTTAAAGTGTTAAAAGGCACAAACCTTATAGGAACTGCTAAGTCTACACACTTCCAAGAACTTTACATCCCTCAAGATGTATTCGTGTAACCATACCCAAGGCTGAAATCTGCACCTGAGCCTAATTGAAGGACAGCAGTGCTTACTCTTAATGTCACAAAGAGCACAGAAGGGACAACAGGTCCTCAGTACCTGCCTGATGTGTGGGCTGTGGCCAATTTTGACAACCTCTGACAAGAGATGCTATGAGCACTCAAGTTGTAGCTGATCCCAGCTGTCTGCTCCACCTCGTCCCAGAGGTCATCTCCACTGTGGCATATCTGATATAGGGGAATACATGTGTGTGCTTCAATTACTTTGGTACAAGTGAACAGCTACTGATGAAAAGTGAATCTGACCTTGCATGGAAGTGTAGACACTTTTTCCTGTCCCCTGCTCTGTGACATGGTAGATGAGAGACAGGACTTCCATCCTCAGGAAAAGCAGGGAGCAGGTACACACCAATGGCTGAGAGCACTCCAGGTTGGAGAAAGGAAGTGAGCAGGTGATACCAAGTGGCACTGAGCAGCAGTGACAGCAACACCAACAGAGGGGAAACTGTCCACAACGATCAGCCAGATCTTTCTAAGTTCTAAAGGAGTACAGACACACTTGCAGGGATTTCCAGAAACAAAAAGAAAGGAAAGAGCCTAAGTCAGCTTCAGACATGACTATGTAGCTAATAAAAGAGCTTTTATAATGTCCAAATGTATTTGCCAAAATCCATCTGACCCACAGGCCTTTAGAACATAGTAGTGCATTGGTCCCTCAAGCAGCTGATGCACAGATGCTTTTGTAAGTCTGGTCCTTTATTCCTTTAACTGCTTTACAGAATGATAGACTATGAAATCCAAACCAGTACCCGATTCTTTCCCCACAGCTCCAGTGATAAAGCTGTGTGGGAAATGCCATAATTCAGGTTTGTGGTCTCTTGTCCAATGGCTACAAAACATAGTGATGTGACACTTTGGATGCTGGCTCTAGGATTTAGCTAACCTGATGGAAAAACAAGACATTGGCAGACACAAGCACCATGGGTTTGGCAAACTCCATATCCATGCTTTGAAAGGCTCAACTTCTCTCAAGTTATTGCACGTTGAGTTTGTAGAGGATTCACCTTTTAAATGGCCACTAGAGTTTCCAGCTGCTCAGTGCCATACTTGCCAGTCTCTGTCACCATCACATGGCGATAAATGAGGTAGAGGAAAAAAGCAACTAGAAGGTGAAGATAGAAAAACAGCCATATCCCACTGGGACATAGTGGAGTACAGGATCTGTGATATGGAAGCTAAGAATATTTTTCTCTTCAGCACCTATACAGAAGACAAATTTCTGTTCACAGTGTCTACATTGTCTACATACAAGATTCAACTAATCTGTGATCTTCCAGGGACAAATACCAAATTCATGGAAGTTAAGTGTGCAGGCTGCACTAGATCTTCAGATAACAGTAGCTAATTTATTACACTGACTTGAGCAAAGGACACCAGTGCAGTCATGCCCCTGTTTTCTTCTGTTGAGGAAGTTTCACATTCCTCAAAAGAAGGGAGTGGGGAAAGGATAAATGGAGATGGAAAGGGGAAGATGGAAATGAGCACCTCCACAAAAATCAGAGCCAGCAGGTACAGCCCTGGTGCTGCTCTTCAGTTCCAGTTTCACACTGCAACACTTCAAAGCTATAGAACGGATATACTTAACATTTACAGGGTATATCATACTGAAGTATGCATCTCAGCAGTTGGCATAGTGCCTTTCCAAATTACTATCCGTATTTTTCCTTCTAGGGTGCCTGCAGGTTGTTTATCTCATGCATTGGCTCCCTGTCCATGGGACTCAAAGCCCATTGTAAGTGACAATTCCTGACAGACTCACTAGTTGTACAAAACACATGGAGGGAAGACATCCCAATATGGTGATTACTGCTCTCCCAACGTATTGAGCCAAAGAACGAGATACAAATACAGGAGCCTGCATAAGAATACAAATATAGATGGTACTTTCATCTCTTTTTGGCAATGGCTGAATCATCAGGTAATTTCAGCAAGATTTTGTTGCTGTTGCGAGATCCTCTGTATACTTCATAGTCCTGATTCATTTCTCAGGTGAAGTAAGATCATTTCAGCAGAAGAGAGAAGGGAGGAATGAGAATCACTACGATGATGCTTTGAGAGTTACTAAGCTGGATATGTTTCAAATAGATCTCACATCTGTTAAAAATTTCCTTTTGATTAAGCATCCTCCCTGAAGTAACTGTCGGCAGGTTCAGGAAGGACTGAAAAATCTTCCATTTGCTTTGCATCCAAGGCATGCAAATCTGGCTGCATGATTCTCCCCATAAGAAATTCTAGTGTAGCTACCACAGGAATTTTATTCCCCATTGCCGTAGTTTAACCTCAGCAGCCACCAAACCTGCACAGCCACTCCCTCACTCCCCCACCAGTGGGATGAGGGAGAGAATCACAAGGGTAAAAGCTAGAAAAGCTCATGGGTTGATATAAAGGCAGTTTAATAGGGAAGGCAAAAGCCACAAACAGAAGCAAAGCAAAGCAAGGAGTTAATTGACTACTTCCCAAGGGAAGGAGGTGTTCAGCATCTCCAGGAGAGCAGGGAGCATCACACAGAATGGTTACATGGGAAGACAAGCAGATAAGTCTACAGACTATAAGCTTTCATTCCTATTTCCCTTTTGCTCATTCCTATTTCCCTTAAATCACACATGTAAATGAGGTTTTTCTAATACACTTTATGTGCCTTTGGTAAATAAATGGATCAAGCATGAATCAAACAAAAGATGCAGCTGAAAAAGCCATTTAGGGCTGTGTAGTGGCTAAATCCCACAATGGAGCGGAGGGGAAGGAGCAAGATCAAAGCAGCACGTCTGGCTGTCACAGCATCTCCCACTTCTTACTGCAATTGCACTGCACTCCCACTGGCAAACATGAAAGCACACAATATGAGTAGTGTTCTGGGTGTGGATTGCTCTCTGTACCAGATATTGTACAAAGGCATATCTGTAAGGGAGGACAGGATGGGGATTCCTAACACTGATGAGTCTGATAAGAACAAGGGAAGGATCTGGTGGTCTGCGCATCCCCTTCTTGGGCTGCCAAAACCCTTCCTGATTCTAACAAGGCCCTTGCAGAGGTGGTTCTGGTTCAACACGAGTCTTCTCAGAGCCAGTTACCCCTACAGGCCTTCGCCAGAGAGCCAAAACACAAGGAAGAGTTGGGGTTTGTGCACTGCCTCTGCACTAAGGCACGGGAAAAGGGAATATTTGCTCTATTTCACAGGAACTGAAGTGTTGCAAAGGCTTCTTTGGCCCTGATTGCAGTCCATGTCCAGGAGGTTTCTCCAAACCCTGCTCAGGAAACGGGCAGGTAAGCAGAGCATCCAGCAGCACCTTGCACTCCCAGCAGGAAAGGATGGGCTGTGCTCCTTTTGGAGCACTTCTGCACAACAGGAATGTTGGGCTCCACAAGAGCTGTCCCCTACATTTATGTTCAGTGAGTTAACCAGAGGAGGAAAAATTAATCAGTCCCCTCCCAGATGTTCAAATTGCAGATTCCTGTGGTTCCAACACACAGGCAAGGCTGGGTGGCCCATTCTCATACTTCAATTTGCACAGTAGCAGAGTAATGACCCAGCTCACTATTCTCACCTTAAAAGGTAGAATACTTAGCAGCAAAGGAAAAGCATAAGCAAAGCTTTTGCTTTGAAACTCACTTTTCATAAAAGCTGATGTTCTTCCTCGGAGTCTACTAAAGTCATAATATGGACAGGCATATAGTCTCTTCTCTAGGGAAAGGGTAAAGATTTGTTTCAGTTTATACATAGTGATCACCTCTCATTCTTATCACAGTGTATGGATGGCCTGGAAGGAAACGGGACTTGTATTTGCACTGAGGCATTTCAGGGCTCACGCTGTCAGTTCTGCTCAGACCTTGGCAAATATGGACCTCAGTGTGACAAAGGTAAGCACAGCCATACATCCTCAGCAGAAGAGCATGGGCTGTTTCTTTCGGGCCCTAGTAAAGTTAGAGCAGGATTTAACCGACCACCAAACAGTCCCTGTGGCAGATGAGCAAGATGTCTCTGGAGTATTTACATTTCTTGTTTCAAAGGGACACATCACAAACCCAGAGTCAGTGTAAATCTCACTGACTTAACTGGGCTTTTTGCAAATAACATAGCTTGCTTTATACTAATTTATTGTTCTTTTAATTCCTGCCTCCCTCACATAATTGCAAAGAAAATCTTTGCTGTTCTGTTCCCATCTAGTACTGCCCACAACAGAACAGATTCTGCCTGCAATGACGAACACATGTAATCTAAGAACAACTAGACCTGTAATCAGGTTGTGTTTAGGGCCACTTAATAACCATCCTTACTGAATAATTTCTGACCTCTTGAATAATTATAGTTCTAGCAGTCATCTGACAGTTTTAATCCTGCTATCCTGACACATTTTTCCTGCTAAATCAAACCATACTACATTTGAGAGTCTACAGGATACGTATCAGACGTATATATATACCCCATCAGCAAAAATCAGTTTCAGACTTTTTGCTATAAGACAGCCTGTCACTCATGAAGCACAGCTCACCTGGAAAGCTCAGAGGTGCATGGGTAAAAACTGAAAGGCAAACTCCATAAGAAAAGGTGGTATTCAGTTCCAGTGATCCTACAAGCTTCAGACCCAACATAGTAATATGTGTTGGCCTAACTAGCCGCCACTGGCACTTCTTTGGAAGCCAGAAAGCTTTCCTGCTGTGCCTTTTGGGCACATTGGTGTGCCTCCCAGCAGCATTCATCTGTCCAACCCCAGAAAAGTGCTGGTAGGTCTGTGCTCCGCTCTGTGTACTAGTCCAGCACTGTGCAATCTATAGGATTGTGAGCTCAGTATTTAAAGACTTCCCACATCACTGAAAATGCACCAAATATTGTGCAATTAATAACTTTAAACCTACTAGCCTAGGACATAGCATTCTGCTCCTACTTCTCTGAAGGACTTTAAAATGCTTCGATAAGTGCACTGTAAAAATACAACAGGTTTTTAATAGTTACCCATCAAACACACCTGAAAAGACATGAATATGATAAATAAACCATAAGTCCCTCATCAAAGTGAGTCTTAAAAATACAGATTCTTGAAAAAATACAAGAACCTGATTTCTGAGAAATGCTATGTAAGGATAAATGCCTTTTCCTACCCTGGAATTGCACACTGTACTTTTTCCCTGGTAGAGTGCCTCTGCATCCATGGAAAGTGTGACAACCGAATAGACAGTGATGGGATCTGTCTTCCTGGATCATGCAGAACTGGATACACAGGGAACCTCTGTGATAAGCAGGTTGTTCCCTGCAAGCCCTCCTTACATCTCTGCCATGAACATGCAGACTGTGATTTGAGTGATGGTGCAGTGAGGTAAGCCAGTAACTTGCATCCAATTAATATTGACTATGCTGCAGCTCTTTCCCATTTGCTTGCTCAGAGCAGTGCCTGGCACAGTACACAAACATCGGCCACTGCAATACTGCTATGCAGCAAATAACCATCATCACCACATCGACCTTGAGTTGCAGGAATGTGACTCAGAGTTCTCAATACCCCATCCTGTACCTTAAATTTAACATTTCTAGATGCATATACATCTAGTCCTGCTACCCACCTTCCTACCAGCAACTACACAGGTTCTTAGGAACTTCTTGCTTTGAGGAAGAGCCTTGCTGTAAAACAGTTAAATTCTCAGAGAGTTTGGAGAAGATGTCTTGCTCTGGTCAGCTCAGGTAAGTTCTCATGCCACAGCACCAGAGTTCAGCACAGGTCCCTCAGTCCTGACAGGACTGGTCTGAAAACTCTGTTACTGCTACAGCTGCCTTGTACTTGCCTCTAGCTCACCTTCACACAGCAAGTTTGCCTCTTGCTGCAGTGTATTCATCATGAGTCACGACCGAGAGCAGTACAGGGGCTGCTGTAGGACTCGAGTGCCTAAATAATTCCCTCCAGTATAGGTTAATCTGGGGGGAAGAACTCAGGAAAACAGGGGAACGCATCATCCTGCATGCATTTCAAGGCGAGAGCTATCTTCTTGTCACTGAAACAAAAAGCAACTCCAGCTCATGGTTAATTAAGAGCTATTAGCTCAACTTTGCAAAGGTCACATCAGCTAAAAGTTAATCTCACTTCCCATCTTGTACACAGAGAATGAATCCCTGGTTCGACTCAATTAGCCCAGTCAACATTTTGGAAAAAACCATAATGTACACACTTGAGCTACTTGCATTATGAATCCAAGGTTACCAATTCTTAGCTGCCTATAAATAGCATGTCACAGTGGAAAACAATCATTTTACTTTAGAGCTGTCCTATCACGTTTAATGCCTCCTCCTCCTCCTCTTGTCTCTGTAGCTGTGTTTGCAAACCTGGCTATGAGGGAGATGGCTTGAGCTGCAGAAAAATTGATCCTTGTGCTGCTTTAAAACCTGGTGGCTGCAGTGTGAATGTAAGTATATATTTTTCCCGGAGACTCTGACACCATAGAAAAGTAGGCAGAGAAGAAGGTTTGGCCAGAAACTTTTGCAGAAGGAAGAGTCAATTGTCACTGCAGTTCCAGGCTCTCTCCCCAGATAGTGGCATCAGTATGGCTTAGACAAGCCTTACCCCTAAAGCCAAATGCCACCTAAGCATCCTGAACAGATGCCTCTACATCTCTCCCTAGGCTGAGTGCATTCAGACAGGTCTAGGAGAGCACACATGCATTTGCCAGGCAGGATGGACAGGCGATGGAAGGGACTGCTCAGCCATCAACAACTGCCTGCTACCCACCACGGCAGGGTGCCATGAAAACGCCACCTGCATATACATTGGGCCAGGTCAGGTAGGTCCTTACCATCATTGCCACCTTCAGTGCTAGTCCTTGACCATTTTGCTCTACCAGCACTTGTGCTTTCCACCCTGTTTTCATCCCCAAATCCTCCTCTTCCTCACAGTCACAATGTTATTTCCACACAGTACTCTCTCCCCAAAGCAATCTCCTTCAGTTCCTGTCTCAGTGCTCCCTCCTTTCTACTTGGCAGTGCTCTGGCAGCAAATTACAGAATCAACCAGGTTGGAAAAGACCTCCAAGATCATCAGGTCCAACCCTACCATGGGTACTAGACCATGGCACTAAGTACCACATCTAGTCTCATCGGGAAAACCTCCAGAGATGGTGAATCCACCACCTCCCTGGGCAGCACATTCCAATGCCTGAGCACTCTCTCCATAAAAAATCTCTTCCTAATATCCAGCCTAAACCTCCCCTGGCAGAGCTTGAGTCTGTGCCCTCTTGTCCTCCTGCTGGTTGCCTGGGAGAAGAGACCAACCCCCACCTGACTCCAACCTCCTTTCAGGGAGTTGTAGAGGGTGAGAAGGTCTCCCCTGAGCCTCCTCTTCCCCAGGCTAAACAACCCCAGCTCCCTCAGCCTCTCCTCATGGCACTTGTGCTCGAGTTCCTTCACCAGCCTCGTTGCTCTTCTCTGGACCTGCTCCAGCACTTCAATATCCCTCCTGAACTGAGGGGCCCAGAACTAAGTATATACTAAGTACATTGGTACATATCTGGTATAAAGGTCTTCTGGAGATGATAATCAGTGTCATTCCACTGAAGTCAATGCAAAGCTACACAGAATCACAGATAAACTAGTTCACCACATCTAGAAAATGCACACTGCCTTTCATCATGCTAATGGATTGCTGTGTTTTATGGAAATGACAGAATGACTGCAAGTGTAAGGATGGATTTCAGGGGAATGGAATTGAATGCACACCGATAAACTCATGCCTGGAACAAAATGGAAAATGTCATCATCTGGTGAGTAATTAATCATCCCCAGAACAAAGTGTTCAGATATATATCACACTTCACCTCCTGCGCACACCATAGAAATTCACTTGCCATTTCAAGCCTGCAGTTTCTGTTTGAGAAAGCACTTTCCAAGCAGTGCTGCAAGCATCAAAAATGCTGTGTGAACCACGTCAGTATGGTATGGGAGGTAAAGACAGACTGCAAGGGCTGCTCCTAAATCTGCCTGTACAAAAGGACTATCTCGCGCCTGGAATAAATAAATGCTTCTTCTCTACCAACATTTGCAACTTCAATGCATTAGCCTGTTGGGATGTTTACCCAGGTCACACATCTGTATCTGTGCATCTATCAGCTTTATCAGTAGCTGCATTGTGCCCTACTCTGCCCTGAGTGCCTGCAAGAGCCACACCAGCCTCAGCGGGGGCACAGGAATAGAGCTTAAGTGAGGAGCACTGGGGAGCAGAGGATGGATGTGCCATAGTCAAGTGAAGAAATAGGGCCTGGTTTATGTAGGGAGGAGGCAAGGAAAGGTGGAGCGGGGGTTTAGATTCCTACAGATTCAGTGCATAGTGGGCAAGTGAGGGAGTTAGTGTCCTCAGCTGATAGTGCATGCCCTATAGGAGGGATTGAGGATGTTCATGGAAGATGGTGCAAGGATCCTTTGTAAGTTTATGTTTGTATACAGATGGGTTTCAGTGAGAGGTTTTACCTTGCGTGATCTTCTGAGTATCTGACAATTTTTCTCTCCTTCTGGTTCAAAGGCAACTTGCCAGTTTGTGTCTCCTCGTGGCTGGGAGTGTGTGTGCCCAAAGGGCTTCGAAGGAGATGGCAGAATATGCTATGGAAATGCTGCAGATGTAAGTAAGATGGGCACGTTCTCTGAGCACAGGACCTGCTGCACAGTTCTCACACTGACTCTTAACCAGAGAGATAGCAAAACCTTTATAAACAGTTAGAAAAACATGATGCCCACCAGTGCTACCTGCAAACACTTCCAGCAGGAGATGCTTGCCTGATACATAAATGATCAGTTATGTTTGAAAACATAGCTTGGAAAGGGACCTAAGGGATCTGAGCATATACCTTGCCTAAAACAAACTGAAGAATGCTAATCCCAGAGTCGAAACCTGCAGAAGTGCTAAGCACTCACCTCCCAGCTGGGAGCAGCAAGCACTCAGCTCTTCTGAAGCTCTGTCCTGAAGTCTATCTCACTGGAAATGTTCCATTTCTCATGTTAAAACAAACTGTGTTGACCCTTGGTCAGGTAAAACCAAAGCAAGTAAATTGGTGAGACAAATATGCATTTAACAGCATAGGAAAAATAAAAGTGTTCACTGCCTCAGCCACCGACAAAAATCTTACATTGCTCTCAGCACTATCTATCACCTCTGCTCATATTAGCATCCATCTCTGTTCCAAGTACTGTGGCAGAACAAAGGCTGCCTACTTGCAGGATGACAGGTGAGATGCTGTACAAATACCAACCAAAACAACATACATTTGAACTAATTTTGCATGGAGTTAAGGAAATATTTGTGCTTGAAATCCCAGAATGCAATGCCTACCAAGGTCAGGTACACTTGATACACCTAAGCAATCCATGGCCTGACTTTCTAGAGCTGGTAACTTACTGTTACCAATACCAGAAAGTAGCGATATTAGAAAAACACCAATGTCTTTTCTTTTCATACACAGTGAAAACTTCCTCCTCCATGTCACATCAGCCAGGCTAGACACAGTGAGTTACACCACAGGCTACAGCAAAAATACTTTGGTACAGCTAATTATAGCTCATATGCTTATTGCTCTCTCTTCCTCTTTCTAATCAGGAGCTATCTACTCTGTCAGAAGCGGCTGCATTTAACCAATGGGTTAATGTAAGTACACTCTGTGATTGATTTTTGTAGTATGTTCAAGTTTGCAGAAATACATGAGACTTGTGGCCTTTAGAAATGGGAACCTCATGGCAATATTCCCATCAAAGAGCAGAGGCTGAAGCTCTGGAAAGGCACTGGAGTGTCTATCCCACCAGCCATGGAGGGCTTGGTCATCTGGTTCCTTATTTCTGCCTGAAAAAAATTCTGAACCCAAATTCAGGTGAATAAGGAAGCTCCACAAGCATAAGAGCTAGTTACAATCCCACCCTCTGAGGCAGAGGGCTACATAAGCCATGACTAGCTTTGTCTGTAAATACACTGCGGCACAGATGACCAGCAGCAGGGTCAACATGCCCCCAAGTGGCTCCTTCAAGCTCTCTCATTCAATCAAACAAGTAAGTGGAGAGGGAAGGCAATGCCTCAGTCTTCCCATTTACACTGTGCCCCATGTCAGGAAAAGCAGCTCTATGTCTGGTCAGCATGCTGCTGCCAGCCCAAGTGAGGAGGGAAAAACTTCGTCTGTGCAGACTTGACTGAGGTGCAGGAAACAGAATCATAGAATCCTTTGGGTTGACCTTCAAAGGCCACAATCTAGTTCAACCTCCCTGCCATGAGCAGGAACATCTTCAACTAGGTCAGGTTGCTCATAGCCCCATCCAACCTTGAATATTTCAGGGATGGGACATTTACCACCTCTCTGGGCAACCTCTCCCAGTGTTTCACCACCCTCTGTGTTAAAAAACTTCCTTATATCTAGTCTAAATAGACCCTCTTTGAGTTTAAAACCATTATCCCTTGTTCTTTTGCAAAAGGCCCTGCTAAAAAGTCTTCATCTTTCTTGTCAGCTCCCTTTAAGTACTGAAAGGCTGCAAAAGTCTCCCTGGAGTCTTCTCTTCTTCGGGTCCCCATGAAGGAAGAGATTAACTCGTTTAGCTCCAGTTTATGGAAAAAATGCCCAATTAGTTTTAAAACCCAAAGTTCTGGATAGTCACAAAACTGAAGTTCTAGATTGCCACAATCTACTTTTTATTTTCACATGCTATCATCTATTACTGCAGCAGAAGTGACATTAGAGATCCTACCCCACTGTGATTGGCACTGTATGAATGAAGATCAAAACCAGTTTCTCCCACAAAGAGCTGAAAACCTAAATATAAGGAGTGTATAGCAAATATAAGGCGAACAAAAAAGAGCAGTGATGTGTTAATATCATCAGAAGTCACAGCACATTAGTTGCTTTCATGCTTTTCAAGTTCAATGGCTTGGGGATAATTGAGGCATGGAATTGCAACAAGCACCTCAGGGAGCTGCTTAAAAGAGAGGCCAATGTGGCTAATTCAAGTCACTTATCAGCCTGGCCCCAAGCTCAGATTGCAGCACTGAACACTGTATCAAGCAGCTAAAGAAATGGACACAATAGGAAATGCTCTTCACCTGCTAATGTTCCCCTTGGACAATGAAGTATGGGGGAAAAATCAGAGGGCAGATTGTATATAATCTATTGAAATAGGGAGGTGGAAATTTCTGCTACACAGAGAAATGGTATCACTTCAACAACAGCAAGCACAACAAGTTGAGCGAAACAGGGAGGTATATCCGTGAGGTTTTTCACTTCATACTTGAGTAGGAATGCGATGTTTACCACTTTCATTAACCAAATATTTTTCTTGCTGGTCACGAAGGATGAGAAGGGGAAGTTTGTTGCTATTTCTATATTTAAATATTTGCAAGGTGACAGGGATGATGGCTAGAAAGAAAGATGATCTTAACAGGGACAAAATTTCCAGCTATTTAAGGGAGCTCATTCCCTTCTTGACTTAAAACCCAATATGGGTAGAGGAGCTGACTTGCAGGCAGCAGACCAGCTGCAAAAAGGCAGAACCCAAGCTCATATTGCTCCATCGAGTTTTGCAGTATCAGAAATGGCAACTTGTGGAGCCTGTGGAAAATTTGGAGAACCTCAGCTTCAGCACAATCACACCCAAATATTTATCCCTCCTTTCTTTTTTTACTCCACAAAAATCAAATCCACACAACTGGAAAAATCCTCCCCAGTGGAGACTCCCTCAATCCTTAAGGCAGATACAAACATATGGAAGATGAATCAATCCATGCACACTATGGAGCCCACAACCCCCATCTAAAATTAGAGCTGTCAGCAGTGAGCTCTACTGCAGTGCTAGTGCAGAGCTTGGACATCTTGAAAAATCCCAGCCATGTTAAATAGTCTTCTTCCCAATGGGAACATTGTGTCCCAGGGTTTCTTATTTCACAGTTCATTAGGCTTCTAGCCATTAAATAGCATGGAGTGCTCTGTAAGAGCAAGTTATTTGAAGTTATCAGTAACCACTAGTATTTATCACCTTGATTATTTATTTTTAACCTTCAAGTGCATAATACAGAATCAGGAAACAGACTAACTTTTGCAGGAGGAGAGTTATGTGTTTCATAGCAAAAAGCAATTCTGACCCAAACATTGTTTCTGCCCTTTAAGTGTTGTCAGCCTATTCTGTGCAAAAATAAACACTCATTTACCATTTAAGTACAGGTTTAAATACCTTTGTTCAAGCCATTGCTCAGTATAATAGTTTTTCCTCTCCAGGCTGGTCACTAAGCACGTCACATACTCCACCTTGCTAAAAAGTCATCAGCTGCTATTTACAGACCATCTTTAGGGTGAATTATTTAACCCTCTTCACTTTGATCCAGGAAGCCAAGATGAATTCAGAGTTGTCCACCACCTCAAACCTAACCCTCCTCGTGCCTTCTCTGCAAGCAATTGAAAACATGGATGAAGATGAGAAAGCCTTTTGGATGACAAAAAGTAACATCCCAACTCTGCTGAAGTAAGTTAATGGTTTCAGGAGTTGGTTTCTTTAATGCATTTCTTTTTCTGCCAAATGAACATTTGGTTTGAAGCCACTAGACAAGACAAGTATTGTGATTTTAAAGGAAGGACAGAGGATCCCCCTTCTAGTTACAGCCATATAAATCTCTGTAGCAAGTCCACTGGAAACAAAGACATTATTTGTATTGTGCCAGAAATGTTTAAAAGCCAAGCTAAGGTCAGGACATAGATGAACTCAGTGTAGTACAAACAATTCCTGGTTAAAACCACAGGTTTAGACACACTAAGCCTATGTACCTGGGGAAAAAAAAAAAAAAAAAAAGAAAAGAAAGAAAATACAAAACTTTCAAATCCAGTTCATTTCCTTTAGGTTTCATGTACTGACAGCAGCTTACAGCTTTGCTGATTTCCAGAATTTATCGTCCTCTGATGTGCTGCCAACGTCACTACAGAGCAACTTCCTACGCTTGTCTAAAGAAAACGGGGTGAGATGACCTGCAAACCACTGTGGTATCATACATCAAACCCTCACCATCACTGCCACTGACTTTCTTATAGTAAAAACCCACACAGACATTATGAAACTGTATTTTGAAAAAAGACCGTGTCACAAATTTAAAGGAAGAGATCAATTATATTGGGCCTGCTGTGAGAAACATTAGCTTAATTTTCTCCACCACTTTACCTAGCTGAAATTGGTCCATGATATTGTTTATACCTCATGTCCCAGTATCTTCTGCAAACACTGGACAGGTTTGTAACCTAGCAGAAGGGCAGTCCCTGACTGGAGCAGCCTGTGTGTACTAAAGTAAGACAAAGAGCATCAAGAAAACCCAGCACCATATTTTAGGGAACTGGGAAGGTAGGAGGAAGCAGTGGTACCACACACACATCCACATATGCAATGTGATAGTCCTAAACCACCAGAAGGTATTTTGATGGTAAATAACTACAACTAATGGCCCTTCCCCCTCAGCCTTTTTATTAGATAAACACCATGGTCTGAGGAGGATTTTCTGGAAATACACAAGGCACATTTAAGCACTTCATCCCCATTAAGGGAGGAGAAAATTCCCCCTCACCTCCATACCCCAATGGAAAAATCATGAAAGGGATCCTTCAAAGCCGCACAGAACTGGAAGAGTATGAATCAGCACAGAGGCCAGCCTGCCTTGGGGTGGTGGTGAGTGCACCACCCCAGGTAACCACCCCAGTGCAAGCAACTCCATGGCTTTGGCCAACCTGTGTGCAGGGAACAGCAGAGAGTCATAGAATCATAGAATCAACCAGGTTGGAAAAGACCTCCAGGATCATCAAGTCCAACCCTACTGTGACTACTAGACCATGGCACTAAGTGCCACATCCAGTCTCTGCTCTTGAAAACCTCCAGGGATGGTGAATCCACCACCTCCCTGGGCAGCCCATTCCAATGTCTGATCACTCTCTCAGTAAAAAATCTCTTCCTAATATCCAGCCTAAACCTCCCCTGGCTGAGCTTGAGTCTGTGCCCTCTTGTCCTCCTGCTGGTTGCCTGGGAGAAGAGACTGATCCCCACCCAGCCTCTGGTATGGGCTGATGTGAGCAGAGCCACGGGGGAGCCCTAGGCAAGCATGTGGGAAGGTGTGGAAACCCACAGTATGAACTGTTGGGAAAACACCACCACCATGACAGGAACACAAACCCATTCTCTTCTCCCTCTTTCAGAACCTCACTCTTGAAGGGGCTCACATTGTGGCCAGTGACATCGCATCTGTAAATGGGGTCATACACGTCATCGATAAGGTAAGTGGCCACTGTCGCGGACAGAGCGGGAGCTTCAGGCAAAATTTGTTAGAGAAGCTCCTGCTGACTCCCAAGGGGCAGAAAGGACCCCCATGCTTTCTAAACTCCTTCTCAGAGAGGAGCCTGGTGGGGCTGGATCCAATCTTAGCCCCAACGGTTTATGTCTAAAGGATTATACAGGTCTAACTGAACCTTTGCGCAGCTTTGTCCTGCAGGGATTAAGGATGGCAAACCAGAGATATTTATATAAATATATATGACTTATTATGAGAATGGTTACACAAAAAGGTGTTAATCAGGATTGTTTACTACACAGTGTAGAAGCTGTAACAACCATTATAATATAGTACACTACAAAGTAATATTGAAGCAATATTTAAGCAATTGCATTAAAGCAGCAAAAACAATTATTAAGCAGAGATTGATGTTACTCACCCAAACCAATGACCATGGGCAAATCTCTTTGGATCAGCCTCAAGGAGTGACCTTGAGCGGTGTCCCCACTCCAGGGAGAATTCCTCACACATACGCTCCAAGAGGAGATACGTTAGAAGACCCTTAAAATTTGGGACTGGGCTCTGTAGTCTAAAGTGATTGACTGTCAGTCAGATGTCTCCAGGCTGTCAGCTCAGCAGCTTTGGATAAGTTATCAGTAGTAGCATTTGTTTGTTCCTTTACCAATTTTACCATATCTTCATCTCACTCTCAGGATGTTTAACTTCGGGGTTGATGAGTCAGACTAGTTTCAGCATCATTTCACCACCAAAAGCAGCATGATGCACCTTCTCCGTTTACCACTGATAGCTTTGCAAATAGGGCACTTATCAAGTTTTACCCCATTCCAAGGCAGAGCATCCTGCGACAGATGCACAGGGAGGATTTGTTACTCTGCACCACAAGCAGTGCAAAATCATTAACTGCCCTTGGAAAAAAAAAGTGTTTGCCTAGAGCAGCATTTTGTCCTGCATCTGTCTGACCCTTGCAGGTGCAAACACAGCATGTGTCCATGGGCTGATGTGGGATATCTGCTCCCCTTGCAGGTTCTGACCCCACTGCATAGCACTGCCATGCCAAGGCTGCTGGCCCGACTGGAGCAAATGCCTGATTACTCCATTTTCAGAGGCTACATTATTGTAAGTTTTCACATTGTCTTCACAATACTTCAAGAACAAAGCAAGTTCTTTTCTTCTTTGTATTTAGACTATTATCAGACTGTCAGTGCTCATTCTGATTTGTTTTTTGTGTTTCACAACAGCAATACAGCCTGGCAAATGAAATAGAAGCTGCAAACACATACACAGTCTTTGCCCCAAATAATGATGCCATAGAAAATTACCTAAGGAATAAAAAGTCTGCTACTCTGGTACGTATTACTCACAAGGCTTGTCTTAACAGCCCGGTATTTCATCTCAGTTTCAAGGAGATGGATTGAGAGGACACAAATAGGAGGAGACATTTGTTTTCCAGAAATTGGAAATTACCTCATTAATGTATATAAGTATCTAAAGGAAGGTGCCCAAAAGATGGATCAGGCTCTTCTCAGGGGTCCCATCCAATAGGACAAGAGGCAATAGGCAAAAACTGATGCACAGGAAGTTCCACATGAATACAAGGAAGAACTTCTTTACTGTGTGAGTTACACACTGGAACAGATTTCCCAGAGAGGCTGTGGATTCTCCCTTACTGGAGGTACTCCAGAACCATCTGGACACAATCCTGAGCCATGTGCTCTAGGGTGGCCCTGCTCAAGCAGGGAGATTGGACCAGGTGACCCACTGTGGTCCCTTCCAACCTGACCCACTCTGTGATTCTGTGAAGTTAACTGATTCTGCCATTAATACCAGAGGAGGTGAGGAGAGATGTATCTACCTACATTTTCCTGGCTTGCTGGAAGAGCCTAGCTCTTTGTTCTGGGTTTTCTCCTCCTCTAGTTGAAAACCATAATGATAATATCCAAGACATCTCATCAGCAGACTTTTTGTGGTTTGTGGTTCTGTGAGGGCTCCTTTTATCGAAAGAAGATCCATACAGAAGTGACCAGGAAAAACACTGAAATGAGTTTCCTAGGTGAACAAGCCCAGCCCCATGACATCACTAATTCCCCATCATTAATAATGCCACAAAATACTCTGACTCTTTACAA